TGACTTAAAAGTAACTTTGTTGTACATATTACTTCATAAATGATCTGTGTTTCCCATAGGATTTTATAAAACTATGTTGGGTGGAACTCTATCCCTCTAGGGGGGTTCGGGGGCATGCTCCCCCGCAAGAAAATTTTGTACATTTTAAGGTTAAATGCATCAATCTGGTGCACTTTGAGAGCTCACAATTAAGAGCTTCAACCGGCTTTAACCCATGAACTGTGCACATTGAACAAAGAAAAAGCATTGACTTGTACCTGGACATTAAAGAGGGCTCAAACATCTTTTTAGTTATGATATAGAGTAGGGGTGGTGAAAAAAATCGATTATTGATTAATCGCGAGTATGTTATGGACGAGTATGAATCGATTATTACATTTTCAAAAATCGATTTTTTATTATAAAAAAAAAAAAATCGCATTATTTTATTTTGTAAAAAAATGTATACCGGAAGTTGAACGTCACGAACGCGCCCAGTTCCAGTAGCAAGCGCGTCTAACGGCAGCCAGAGCGAGTGAGAGCAGGTGTGCCGGAGACACACTGGCTGCGTGGCGTGAGCGTCTCAGCTGCGTGGTGTGTCCGTTTTTATTTCGGCTCCGATGTTAACAGGTTAGAGCTTGCACACTGCCTGCATGAGCCGCGCGGAAAACGCGTGCATGCTAGAAATAGAACCGACGCCTATTTTTCACGCGACACGCAAGCGTGTTGGAAGCGTTTCCAGGCAAAATAGAATAGGAAACGATGTTTATATGTCATTTTGTACACGAATACATATTAATAAATTACATTTTGATGTTTGAAAGTCTAAGTTTTGATATAAATTCAGATATCAATATAATAAAACAAATAATAATAATTATCGATTTTCAAATATTGCCATTATTTTTGCCTATATACAAATTTATGTCATTTTTATTTTTTAAACAATCGAGTCCTGGTGTTCACTACAGAGGTCATAGCATAACATATGAATAAAATATCTCTTTTTTTTCCCATTTGTTTCTTATGCTCTTAACAATGTGATTACATGAAGAAGAAAAAAAAACTTTTGAAAAAAACGTTCTGGGCCTCAGGAGGATATAAAGATAATAGGCTACAATAACAACATAGTGTGTCTTCTGAGTGACGGTCCACCATCAGGCTAAATATAGGCTCTTTAAAGCTACACAAAATTTGTAAATGTTATTGAAATAAACAGACAGCCCACTTCCCTATTTTTCGGATTTTGGAAGATGTGTGATAACAGTTGAAATTGTTGTCGTAAAGGCAAGAGGCAAGAGTTGAAATTGTTGTAGTAAGGATTAACACACCGCTAACCCAAATGTAGTCTTTCCCTCTATGTCACTCTGGTGTGCAAAGACACAGAAAACGCGACGCAGCTGACAGACACGCAACAGAAACGCCACGCTCACGCCACGCAGCCAGTGTGTCTCCGGCCTAACGAGCGTTGCTTGCTACAACACCTTGTCTTTCTAGAAGAAAATTGTCCAATTTCTACAGTATGTTGGTTCTAAACTAATTCCTAAAGGAAATAAGCCTTTCATTTATTTGTTATTGTTTAGTTCAACTTGATGAGTCACAACACAATGTGATGTATTCATTTCTGTGTTCTACAGAACATAAGCTACATACAAATAATTCTGAAGTTATAACTACACGACACAGAAAGTGCTTTGAGTTGTTGTTACTCAATAAAAGAGTTAAGTAATTCAGCAGCTGACTTTTTTTAATACTGCAAACACTTTGTAGTGTATTTTCGTTTACTGTTGTGAAATGGAAAATCAATAATCGCTAATCGAGAATCGTTAATAATCGAAAATCGACTGTAATCGAATCGGGACTTCAATAATCGTAATCGAATCGAAAAATCAGACAGATTAACCACCCCTAATATAGAGATCAGTCTGCATTACATTATCACTGGTGTTTTAAGATGCCAAACAATTATTATAATAATGATTTATATAATTATTCCTATGACGTAAAATCATATACCTCCTATAAATGTAGCCTAAAAGTGTTTTGCATTACATTACACAGTATAGGAAAAGTACAATACTTTTGTCCTAATTTCTTTAATTGCCAGAAATAAACCCTTGAGCTTTCATTTTGGAGAAAACACCAGATCACCATGCTGATCGCGTGAGCAAAGTGCGCACTTCTATTTAAATCACGCAGCACAAACAGAATGCCTAGGCTACTTAAAGTCTTTTGCTGTTTTATAACGGCACAAAGCAATATCACAGTTTCAATTTGACTTGGTTGGCAAAATATAACGCTAAACAGTCGAGACCTGTATGTTAGGCAACCGTAGGCAACTGCTTCTCCATCACTTCAAATTTCAGAGCGTCAAGTCACGCGACGCGAGTCGACATGATAGCGCGCTCTCGCTCACTGCGCAGGAATACAGACGCTGTTTTTGACGCGATTTAACATTATATTTTGATCGAATGGGTTGCAAAAATATGCATATAATTAGGAAAGTGAGGACTGCGTTTATAACGTGATCTAACATAATATTTGACGGTGCGCAGGGCCCCTTAGATGTCATGTGCCCCTGGGCAAGTGACCAGTTGGTTAATCCGGCCCTGCCTAAAAGCACGCTTTTATGTAAAAACATTTTTTTGAAAAAAAAAAATACTTTTTTATAATGCAACAAAGATTGCTAAAGTCAACAGATTTAACTAATAGACCTACTAAACTCTGTGTAATAGTCAAATAATGATGCTGCCTATGAAGGTAAAATGATGTCATTAAAGAATTGCATGCTCAGGGTAAGATTTATATCATGTTTTACTCAAGTAACTTATAGCAGAATGTCCAAGCAGCTGTTTTTTTCCATGCAATACAAGTGAATTGGTGACTTAAATAATTTAAAGGTTGATTCCTCACACAACGCTATTATATTTGTTGGAATATACAAGCAAAGCACTGATGTTTTTGGAGCTTGACAGCCCGTCCGCTCTTATTGTATGGAAAAGAGCAGCATGAACATTATGCAAAACTTCTCCTTTAGTTTTCCAGGAAAGAAAGTAAGTGCAGGTTTGGATGGAATAACATGACGTGTTGCGTAACATAATGCATGCAATTTTATGGCACATATTAAACAACACCATGAGGCAGCAGTTTATTTTATCATGTAAACTCTCACTCAGCAGTCACAGAAACTCAAACATTTCCAAATCATCTTCCTGCTAACAATCCAACTGAATCTTCACAAATACAGTTTGTGTTTATTATATGAGACTGTAGCCAAGTTCTGAGGAATGTTAGATAATAAAAGCGTAAAGGTTACAAATGCGTGAGCACTTTTAAGGGTCAAGCCAGTCAATGTTGTTTGTGTATTCTAAAGGTCATTCTGTATTAGTTGGTGGCATTTCTCAAGAACAGTCTCATTAAATAGTTAAAAGACTGCTGCACCAACACTAGAATCATGTGGTTATATCACAATATTACCTAAATGACATTGACCCCGCATTGTAAAATCAGGAGAGGGTGAAAGTAAACTATTCTGACCTAGAAAACTATGAAGAACAAATGCCACATAATATATTACTTTGTAATAGGTGTTATCAGGTTGAGATAAGCTGCAAATGAACTAATAAGACTCGAATAGAATTATCTCTACTTTGATACAGCAAGACATAGCAGAGAATAAGTCTGTAACACCTTTTTGTTTCACATTGTACATGCGTTACCTTGTGTTCGAACTTACATCGTATGCATTTGAAACCTGCAATTTAGGGGTAGCTTCATAACTTAAAGTTGGACAACATACTTGATGACTAAAGCACAAATTTGAATACATAGCTTAACAAGTGTCCTTTAAACAGGGATAAAAAAGACAATTAAAGTGCACCCTGATATAGGCCATTGTTGTTAACACCTACCCAGTAAAGGATTTAAATTTATTTTAGGATTTAAAGATTACAGAGCCAAATCTGAAAAATTTATTTAATAGGCACCTGTGTCTACTGGACTGGTTCACCTATTCATCTGAAAATGTCCTCAGTGCTGCATACAAATAAAAGTGTAATAAATAGACACAAAAATCAGAGAGAAACGGCTTGAATAACTAGTTATAGTGCAACTTCTGCATATCTATCATGTTACAGTGCTTTGTGTAAATTTATGGATTACAATAATACAACACTAATGTGGGCAATGTCATTGGAGATAAAGTATTGGTTTCAGTGACCGGATCCTGCGTTTGCATGTGGACGAACGACCAAACCGCATAGAAAAATCTTTTTAAAAAATCTAATAGTTTTGAAAATACCCGTGTTCGTGTGGAACTGTGGATGTTTTTATAACAATAATATAATTTGTGTATAATGTAATCACGCGCATGCGCGTTTAAACTGTCATGACAATCGAAACCTACTACAGCGCACCATCAACTTCGTACTTGATATCAAGTATGTGATTGCGCTACAGGCTGCAGCGAGGACTTCTTGATCTAAAGGGCTCCAAAGTGTATGTTGTACTTTAAACCATTATAAAAAAAAACTTCTTGATGTAATGCTTTCAAAGCTAGCTTGCTTTTGCTAGCCTCTCCGAAATTGCCTACTCTACCTTTAATGTTTTTGATAATTATAAGGGCACATGAATTTAAAAAGAAATGTGCACAGATAAATAACTTATAATAAATACTGCAATATTCCATAAAAATAAGAATTTGTAAATGTTTATTTCATTGTTACTTTAAAATATATGTATGAATGTTAATCAATATCGAACCAAGTGGAATCAGCAGACAAATAACACGTGACTAGAGCCTTTCCTCAGTACAGGTTCAAAATAGCAATAACTTTTTTCTTCAATCAAAGAGCATTTGTGTATGTTTTGCTTGAAAACTGTGCTCGTGCTGTCTGTCTTCAAAATAAATAGACTTTGTTTTAACATTTTTTTTTTATCTAATGCAATGAGACTCATTACTAATAATTGACATTACACTCATCCAACTGTTATGCACGCTCTGAATGGCGTGATGTTCTTACCTCCCATCGACCGTAGGTCAGCAAGAACAGGCACAAGGGTATGGCGGTCCCGGACATGGCATGAGTAGAGGGCATGCTGTACTCTGAGTTGTAGAACATCTCCACCTTTACCACCGGGGGCGAGGCAGGTCTCGGCCACCGGATAACATCTTTCGTGCACTGGCCGAGATACATGACCCACACCCAGACCACGACGAGCCGGCGGCTCACATATGCGTCTATGTTCCATATGAAGAACGGGAAGAATGAGATGTAGAACAGCTCGTTTCCAAGCTCGGTACCGAGCGTGAACAGGTAGAAGAGAAACTTATTCTCGATGATGAACTCCTGCCCGGCGTCTCCGGTGAGAGAGTTTCTGCGCAACGGCTTCACCGAGGATCCTTGAGCGTCGTCCTCGTCCTTATCCCGTGGCCGCCCGGTTTCTCCCGCAGCTCCGTTCGACACGCCGTTATTGCGTTTCTCCCTGTCGGTCTCTGCTCCTGCTGGTCTACGGCGGGTGGCATCCCCGCCTCCGTTATCAACATCCCCGTGGCGCGTGCCTGTTACCCCGTTACTTAGTTTGTCACGTGTGTCGGTTTCGCGCACCCCGCATAGCTGTTGGAAACGCGCGACGTGCTGAGGGTCCTGCAAATAGTGCATGAGCTGCACGAATCCCACTTTCAACCCTCCTGCCATGTTTAGCGACAGACTGCGCAAGTTGAAGCCACCTGGTAAGACCGGGATAAGCTGGAGCTACCGAGAGTGAACCGTGCTGTGGGTGTGGGTTATTAAACCATTTTCTCCATTCCCGTACTTATAATAACAAAACCCCGATCTAACCGAGACAAATAGACTTATAACAACTGATAAAAATATTCATGCACACATGAGGAGAAAATGAACACGAAAAAACTACTTAGTACTGACCCCACGCCGTATCCGGTTACTGACAGATCCGTGCGATCAATAGAAATACGGGTGGATAGAAAGAAGAAAGCAAGTTTCTGGATTCAAAATGGGAGGGGCTTAGCAGCCGGACATTGACTGTGATTGGTCAGGTACCATGGTTCTAAATTAAAAAAGATTAATATTTCACCTCATCGATTTTTTTTATATTAATTAAATACTACTTCATCTAATTATTGTCCCTACTTGCATTTAAAATAATACCTAGCCGTTCCTGAAACATCGGAGAGCCAGCATTGTCACGTGGTGGCTGCTACTTTTCACAGCGCTAAAGGTTTGATTGCCGAATCGTGTTAGTTTAGGATATTTAAAATATATTGCGTGGGCTGGTTTACAGTCTATGGTTTAAACGCATACGTTAAGTACTAATAGTTGGGACTAATAGGTTTAAACGAGAATGCCTTTAGTGTTGGTTACATATATCAACAGTGGAACCAAAAAGACATGATATTTTAATGCATCTCAACGGGGAGTTCGGCTTCTTTGTGCCGCAAAGCGCCCTCTGGAGTAATTAAGTTAACTTTTGTGTAGGAAACGTTTAGCAACTCCGTCCACTGTTGCGATGACGTCATCACTTGACGGACTCGGGAGCGGCTGCACATGATTATAAAATGTGATACATAATCATGAAATCATAACTTGTATTTGCGTATATTGATTTACACAGCTAAAGAAAAAGGACTGAGTGAAACATTCAATATTTGATTTTATTTGACCGCAGTGCCATGAAAATAGACAATTCTCGTATATGCTACTTTTAAATCTTTTGGCAAAATAGCACTAAATTCTCTGAGGAAATAATGTTCTTTTTGAAAGAAAAAAATAGCTTCATTTCAAAATAATCTGGATATCCATGTCTATGCTTTGAAATGTCCAAAAGATAGCACTCTGAATTTAGATTTCAGTAAATTACATTCAGATATTGAAAAAAAATACATTACACATACAAATGTGCATAAACAAACAAACAAAATATTAATAGTAAGAGTACCAGTCATTATATACTGTACCAAAATATTTTCGCACTACATTGCCTGTTAGAAAACCTTGTGTAACCAACATGTGAGACATGCACAGCGATATGAGACGAGAACAGGATCTTCTGAGGTTCTGTGTAAAAGAAAGTGAGTGATTTTACACTACATTGAGCATATAAACCTTGTTTTCCCTGTTAATCATAAACCGTGGGTTTTTGCACTGAATGTAGGCCATTGTTATGAGATATTCGACACCCACACAGTTAGGGTTTTCAGATCCAAATATTAAAGAGCCAGAAATGTACAAAATCCATGTGTGTACAAAGGAGGGATTGGGAACATGTATACCGGCCAACCTGGACTGATACCTAAATTTGTTACAAGAGACAGATGACTGCATTATGAACTGCAGGTAGTACAGATGATTGAAATGAATGAACCAAAGAAGTCTATGTTACTGAGAATTCATTGCCATAACACTAGATGGCAGAGTTACCTTTACATAACAGTTTCTGCCAAAAAGCCTTAAAAGGCTGTATGCAAATATCTTAACGAAACACAAGTAGCAAATGCAAATAAGCTTTTTACTTTTTTTTCCACTATTATGACCGTGAAAGTTGCATGTCACTATGACCCTGTTTAAGTCGACAAAACCAGAAGGCCTTGAAAGAAATATTAGTTCCACTTCTCAATTTCCCTCATACATACTCCCATTTCCTCTTTTTCTTTCTTTTTTTGTTAAAGGTATGGGAACTTAATAAAAAAAAAAAAACATTACTAGTTCGACATCAGTAGCCACTTACACACACGCACACACACACACAAAGTTCATTTCAGAGCAACAAAGCTTTAGTAAAATCACTTCAACCTTAGAAGCAGCCAGGATTTTGAAACTGACAATTACATTTTTTTTTTTTACAACATAACAACAAGGTGCATGGCATTCATTTGCCTTTTTTTAATCCCTGAAAACAGTGCTTAAAGGGTTAGTTCACCCGAAAATGAAAATTCTGTCATTAATTACTCTCCCTCATGTCGTTTCAAACCCGTAAGACTTTCATTTATTTTCAGAACACAAATTAGGATATTTTTGATGAAATCTGAGAGCTTTCTGCCCCTCCATTGACAGCTACGCAACTGACACTTTGACGCTTCAAAAAGTTCATAAAGAGATTGTAAAACTAATCCATATGAATTGAGCGGTTTAGCCCACATTTTCTGAAGAGACACAATCACTTTATACGCTGAACAGATTTAATTAAGGCTTTTATTCACATATAAACATTCATCAACACACACATCAGTTATGGTAAACGGAAGCTCAAGCATGTTCACTTACGCAGCATGTTTGAGCTTCTTTATGTTCGCTGATCAATGTGAATAAAAGCCTAAATTCAATCTGTTCATCATATAAAGCGATCGAGTCCCTTCAGAAAATTTGGACTAAACCACTCGATTAGTTTTACGATCTCTTTATGAACTTTTTGAAGCGTCAAAGTGTCAGTTGCGTAGCTGTCAATGGAGGAACAGAAAGCTCCCAGATTTCATCAAAAAGATCTTCATTTGTGTTCTGAAAATAAACGAAAGCCTTACAGGTTTGGAACGACATGAGGGAGAGTAAATGTTGACAATTTGAATGTTTGGGTGAACTATCTCGTTAAGATAATACCTCACTCAAGCAAATTCATGAAAACAAAACGTCTGGTCAAAGTTCAGATTGAGCGAGGCAGTGATGATAACAAGATGATGTTGTCTTTTTCCACTTGGAAACATACACCCTGATATGGGCAGACACCCGTCACGTCACAAACCACAGAGCTCATGCTCACCAGCAGACTTGCACAAGCACAAATGCACACAAACCCGAAACCCCTTCTTCTTTTTTGCTGGCTCCTGGAAATCAGTCATGGACTGTTGGAAATCCCCCGCATGCACACGACGACATCTTATCCTTTGTCATCCAAATGGTAGAGTAGCACTGAAGCTCCATGATCAGGAGGCAGGGTGTGGCAGCTCCCCAGGGCACAGATGCATGTGGCTGGGGAGCATGAATACGGCAGCAGCTTGTACTGCTGGAACTCCTGGAGCACCACCTTCAGTCTCTTCCGCCTCCTCTCTGTCTCCTCCTCCTTGTCATCCCTCTGTTTCTCCCTCTCCCTCTGGGCCTCGTCCAGGTGGATCTTGCGTAGCAGGTTGTTGATGAGCACGGAGCGGCGGAGGTAAACCTCGGGGTCGTCTAGGAAACGCAGCTTCTGCAGAGATAGGCGCAAGATGCAGCTGCGCTCCTCACGCAGGATCAGGTGCTGAGGAGAGACAGACAGGTAAGACAGACAGACAGGTGAGAGAGACAGACAGGTGAGAGACAGACAGACAGGCGAGAGAGACAGACAGGTGAGAGAGAGACAGGTCAGACAGAAAGGTGAGAGACAGACAGGTAAGACAGACAGACAGACAGACAGACAGGTGAGAGAGACAGACAGGTAAGACAGACAGACAAGTGAGAGAAACAGACAGGTGAGACAGACAGACAGGTGAGAAAGAGACAGGTCAGACAGACAAGTGAGAGAGACAGACAAGACAGACAGGTGAGAGAGACAGACAGGTAAGACAGACAGACAGACAGGTGAGAGATGACAAGGACAGGTGATGTGACGGTTGCTGACATGAAATGGGCTACTAAAATCAAAGAGGATGACAGATAGGATCAGGATAGGATCAGAAAGACAGACATGGTGGCATATATGATTTTTATTTATATTTTTAAAGTTGAAATTAAATTTTTAATTGGAATGACAAACCATCCATCCATCCATCCATCCATCCATCCATCCATCCATCCATCCATCCATCCATCTATCTATCTATCTATCTATCTATCTATCTATCTATCTATCTATCTATCTATCTATCTATCTATCTATCTATCTATCTATCTATCTATCTATCTATCTATCTATCTATCTACCCATTTCTCCATCCATCCATCCATCCAACTATCCATCCATCCATCCATCTATCTATCTATCTATCTATCTATCTATCTATCTATCTATCTATCTATCTATCTATCTATCTATCTATCTATCTATCTATCTATCTATCTATCTATCTATCTATCTACCCATTTCTCCATCCATCCATCCATCCAACTATCCATCCATCCATCCATCTATCTATCTATCTATCTATCTATCTATCTATCTATCTATCTATCTATCTATCTATCTATCTATCTATCTATCTATCTATCTATCTATCTATCTGTCTATCTCTATCTATCTATCTATCTATCTATCTATCTATCTATCTATCTATCTACCCATTTCTCCATCCATCCATCCATCCAACTATCCATCCATCCATCCATCTATCTATCTATCTATCTATCTATCTATCTATCTATCTATCTATCTATCTATCTATCTATCTATCTATCTATCTATCTATCTATCTATCTATCTATCTATCTATCTATCTATCTATCTATCTATCTATCTACCCATTTCTCCATCCATCCATCCATCCATCCAACTATCCATCCGTCTATCCATCCATCCATCCATCCATCCATCCATCCATCCATCCATCTATCTATCTATCTATCTATCTATCTATCTATCTATCTATCTATCTATCTATCTATCTATCTATCTATCTATCTATCTATCTATCTATCTATCTATCTATCTATCTATCTATCTATCCACCCATTTCTCCATCCATCCATCCATCCATCCATCCATCCATCCAACTATCCATCCATCTATCTATCTATCTATCTATCTATCTATCTATCTATCTATCTATCTATCTATCTATCTATCTATCTATCTATCTATCTATCTATCTATCTATCTATCTATCTATCTATCTATCTATCTATCTATCTATCTATCTATCTACCCATTTCTCCATCCATCCATCCATCCAACTATCCATCCATCCATCCATCTATCTATCTATCTATCTATCTATCTATCTATCTATCTATCTATCTATCTATCTATCTATCTATCTATCTATCTATCTATCTATCTATC